TTTTTTTTTTTTTTTTTTTTTTCCAGTGGTTTGGCAATTGTTGAAACCTAATTATTTATTAACAGTTGCTTAGGCAAATGTAGTACATTGCACGTTTATTTTCTGTACTGCGACAGCAAGTACAATAAGAGATAATAAAATTGTTATTTTTATTGGTTTTCTTTTATGAGCCATGTAAGACTTGTAAGACACTGTACCTTATTAGTACACATTAGTAAGCAACAAATGAGAGTTGTATTTCCTAAGGCACAATTTAGAAAAATATTTTTAAGAACTGATGAGGTGTATAGTACAGAGATTAGACTAAGACATCATGGGCGTCTGATGACACCTTACGCCATACTATATCATATGACCCCCTGAATTATCAGTATTATATTATTATAAATAGTACAAATCTAGTGGAATATAGTAGTGATCTAGTGTTTAATACTAAATGTTATACTGATATTATTATTTGTGGACATAGTATTGCACATACCAGCATCACATAATTTGTGCAGTTAAACTATTTTAATATTATTTTTACTAAATTAAATGTTCTTGCTTGTTTGTTTTTTGGTAAATAACAGTGTGTATTTGTGTTAGGCTCTGCCATCTACCCAGTGGAAAACGCTCCCATTGGCCATAACAGAGATTACAACATGGTGCCATTCTGGCCTCCTGTCACCAACGCAGAAATGTTCGTGACCGCTCCAGAGAACCTGGGTTACTCCTACGAGGCCACCTGGCCCGGTACGCACTTGTGCAAGGACAGCATGAAAGCTTGAGTTGCTTGTTCAGTATTTCTGCCTCTGATCTTGAAACATCTTGCATGTATTGCTAACCTATACTCCAAGTACATCACATCATGTGTAATAACACGTTCACAATTCTCTCTCCAGCCCGTCCCATCACTCTGACCGAGATCATCACCATCGCCGTGATAGCAGCACTTATCGTCGTGGCGATCATCTTCGCCGTCACAACGTGTGCCGTGCGCTCCCGAGCCCATAACTCTGAGGGCCGGCAGCATCTGCTCGGGGAACAGTACCAACGCTATGACGATCATGACACACACAGCAACAAGACCCAGTCTGTGGTTTAAGAATGCAGAAGCTAAAACTTCAGCCTCTTTTGTATAATCCCAGTCATAGATAGATGACAATGCCCTGTCATTAGATTTTGTATGTATTTTGAATGAAACCAGAAGTGCCTTGAGTCATATTTAGCCAAAGTCTGTGTGGACAACAATTAAACTAAAAAGGCACAAACTAAAATGACGGTGCTAACATTACTTCAGCAACTGTTCACTGTAAATTTGTAATTGTAATCGGTTCTTATTTAACAGTTGTCATTTTAACGAATATGGAGGATTGTAGTCTAGGCCTGGAAATAAATACAATAAAATATCTTCTTTTACCAGGAAATATTGCACCCTTGGCATCTCATTGTAGACTCTTCATGTGTGTCGCTTTCTGGTGCCACTAGATGGCAGGTTCATACAGGGAAAAGAGTCAAGGTGTTGAAACTAAATCCAAAACCACACCTCATACTGTACCTCTGACACACTCTGACTACTGAAGTAATGTTTCCCAGCCCAGTTTTCCAATAACCACCAAACAGTCCACATGTTTGCCCTGCACCAGCTTCCAACACTCCTGATGCAAGTAGTCAGTATTCCTGACTGTATTTTGCTGAGTTCAGATCTGATCCAAAAGCAACATCACTATAACAAGGACTAAACTGATGCCTGTTGTCTAAAATTAAGAACATAATTCAAGTTCAGTGTTACATGAATTATGTGCACATACTGTATTTTTGATTGCATTTTCTGTATGATGATGTGTGAAATATCTTACTGAAATTAAGGCTTGACAGCACTAGTACTTAGTGGTTTGAATTAAGCACTTAGTGGTTTGAATTAACAGACAATAATTATTCAGATGCATATTTTTCTCTCAGCAGGTCATGCTGTTAGTAATTGTAGAGTGATTTGTGGGTGGGCGTTACTAAAGCAGTTGTGGGCGTGGCGCACCTGTCCAGCATAAAGAGAAGCCTTACTGTGGAAAGCCAAAGTGTTCATAAGTATGTTATCTAAGCTTAGATCATTGTAGAGTCCCACTGGGGAAAAAAATGAGATGATGCGGAATAAGTAGGTACAGGAAACCAGGATACAAGTGTGTGAAGATTTTTAATAATAAACATACATATACAAAAGACTTGTGGCACAAGGCAGGGGACACCCTGGATAGGGTGCCAACCCATCACAGGGCACAATCACACACACACATTCACACACTACAGACAATTTGGAAATGCCAATCAGCCTACAACACCTGTCTTTGGACTGGAAACCCCCAAAGCATGGGGAGAGCTCCATGCACACAGGGCGGAGGCAGTATTCGAACCCCCAACCCTTGGGGTGCAAGGCAAAAGTACTAACCACTAAGCCACCATGCAAGAAAGATGATGAGAGAAGTGACTTACAAGCCATAGATATATACACATCAGGATTAAGTAAAGACAGGATACAGGAGACATAGATAATAGACCGAACCCACAAACACCAATGAATTAAAAGGGGAGGAAAAAATTAAACCAAAACAATAACAGAAGCACATGGACAACTATGAACTATGAAAAGAGCACTCATGCTGGGACCCGTGACATGAGCTGAGAGGGGGAATTCATCACAATCACTGAACTTTAACCATCTTTGACTCTGTAAAATTTTTTACATTTATAAATTAGCAAGCTGGGACACTTGTAGAGAAAAAAAAGCAGCAAAAGTTCTCAACTGAACCAAAATCTTAACCAACATTCCTAAAATGCCTCATGAGAGACATCATACAAAACTGCAGCAAATTTGGCCTTTTATAATTAACCATGTGTCCAAAATGTAGACTACAGTGTATAGTACACACACTAAACTACACTCGAAACCAGCATGTAGAACACGTGATGTGATGATATAATTTCCACTTAAACAGGAAGTCAGAGCGGAACATATCAAGTGGCTCCTCCTCCTTTTTAAATAGCCAATAGCATTTAGCTTACCTCACAGCCCCAATCCCAATATTGAACATCCCAATATCGGTGAAGGAATCATCGGAAAAATGTCTGTCACAAAGCCGTGAGCTGGCACGAATACCTCCTTCTTCAAAGTAAATGAATTCAAGACAGTTCCTTCTTAACCAACTAACAGTTTATTATTATTATTATTATTATTATTATTATTATTATTGTTATTATTATTTCCTTCTTAACCAATTTACAGTTTATTATTATTATTATTATTATTATTATTATTATTATTAACGACCCATGCTTGCTGATATGATTTCTCTCCCTCAGCAACAGCGACTTTGGCAAGGTGATTTTTATAAATTGTGGGCGGGACACTTTAGATTCTAGAGAGCATTCGATTGGACAGAAAATCTGACGAGAAGCTGAAGTGCAGAATGATGTCATCAAAATTGTTGATCCGTATCGGTGGTAGAGAGAGATTGCACATTCTGAATGCACATATCTTCTAAATGTGAATTTGGTCACTGTTCTGGAGCACACTAGCTTATAGATCTAACATATTCATACTAGAAGCCACAAAACTTCAAGTCTGATTTCAGGGGGACTTTAAAGTCTATCCTACAAAGCTGGTTTGTTTGGGAACCTTTTGGCTTTCCACAGTGAAGTCCCGGCGCGCACGCGGAGAGGTTCTGTCCTTATAAGCGCGCGACCATCGGCTCAAAAACGGCTCGTCTTGGTTCATGTAGCTGAACTCTTTAAAGCAAGCTCGTGCATAAACAGTTTTAAACGGAAATGTTTCCACTGCAGAACTGGTTTCTGTAGACAAACCGGATTACGGAAAGGAGATCCGTCTGAAGCGCAACCGGATCCGGGGCTGGTAATTTCAGCTTTATTCATTATTCACGCCGGGATCTCAGGTCTCTGTGTGTCCAGACAGGATATTTGGTGTTTCTCTGACTATGGAGGAGGACAGCACTGTTCCGGATTTCAGGGACATCGAGGTGAAACTGGGTCGGAAAGTACCGGAGAGCTTGGCCCGGTCCATTACGCACAGAGCAAAACCATTAGAGTCCAGTAGAGCTCAGAGTCACTGCACCAGCTCTGAGCTTAAACAACTGGAGAGCAAGATGCTGTTCCTCAAACAGGAAATGGTGAGCTTTTTTTCCTTAATGCTTTCAGCAGTACACCTTCTCAAAAGATCTCATGCTTTAGAACCCAGGTTCTCAACCCAGTCCTGGATCTCTGACACCAAAACCAACAATAGCCATGCAGTCAGTATACCATGGTGTCCTGTGAACACTATGATTGCTCTGATCAGAATACACCTTTCTTTGTCACTGGAGTGGTTCCATTAATGGTACATTTGCTTTGTAGTGCACTTTTTAAATATTCCTCTAAATCCTAACTACAAGAGTGGTCCTTAAGGTCCAGTTATGTACCTTAAATCAACGTATGCTACATTCACATGTACCATGTAAAAGATACACACTAGGAACAAAAGAAGAACCCTTGAAAGTACCACTTCAATGCCAAGAAAAGATACAGTTCCAGGCCCTGTATTTCCTCATATCTGAACCAGGGAACTGAATGTACACCTTTTACCTGGTTCTAGCTACTGACTTGCATATGAGAGAAACAAGCCTTCTTTATTGTCATATCCTGCCTCGATCAATAAAGCTAGAATGTTTAACTTAAGTGCGGTTTTATGGTTCAGGTCAGTAAACACTACATGAAGAGCAGCATGCCCAGTTAAATGAGCACACGTACAAAACAAACTTCAAACAAAGTTCATCTCTAACGACGAGATCTGGATTGCCTCAGTACAGCTTACATGACGTGGGATTTTGTCCATCACGACCTGTGCAGATGTGAGTGCAAGTGCAAGGTTTGTAGGATGTTGACCTGTGATAACATCACGCTGTGCGTGCAGTCATAAGGAAGCTGGCGATTATGACTGCAGACTGTTTCCGTCTGCTTTCCTAATAATCCCAGGAACGTACAGTGATAATAAACGTCATGCCTTAAACACTCCCTAGGCAAACCAGTGTGGCCAACATATGGTTTTAAAGCTAAAGACTCGCACATGTGTGTGCGAACACACACATATAGTTCACTGACGACACTGTAGGAGTCAAACATCTCTCCTTTTCATCAGCAGAAAATCAGATTAAGAAAGGGCTATTAGCACCTCATCCGAGCGCTGTTCACACGTTATTGTTCACACGTCTTGCCATTGACACAGTGTGAATGTCTGTGTGTTGTCTCAGGCCTTCATGTTTTAACAAGACGAGATCTACAGAAACCGTACCATAGCGTCGCCTTGCACTGGGAGCAGTAAAATATACTGAGCTTAAATCAGCTCCCTGTCTCCTAAAGGTTAAAGGTCAGAGAGGAGTCACTGACTCCAGATGTATCTTCTGGGATTGCGTCAACCCTTTGGAGCAAAAATGTCAATGTGAAGCTCCTCTTTTTTTTTTTGTTACTGTGTTCTAGTCTGCAGAACTGTGACAGATTTATATTTTGATTTATGAAAGCTTATTGGTTAATGCAATAATTGGTTGGTGTACTTATCGTTACCTTGACGACCATGATGGTGACAGTCATGAAAGTTTTCATATGGACAAAATCATAAGAAAAGGTACAAGCACTAATCCCAGCCCTAACCCTAAACTTAACCTTTGTAAGAGCTTTGTACCTTCGTAAGTTTGTAACTTTTCAAGTCTCAGACCATGTAGTATAAGCTAATATTGGATATGGAAATCATACCAATTGTATTTGATGACAATTATACGACAAATCATAAATTTATTATCTAGCCCACCAGGTAAGTAAAATCTTCAGTGTTCTGCCCAGCCCCATGTTTTAGTTGCCTGGAAACCTAACTGAATAAGCTAAAAAGAGGTAGCAACCTTAATATAATAAGGTCGTTTTAATAGTTATGTAGTTACATGCATTAACTCACACTAAGGAAACAAAATAGTAGCCTATGTGTTTGTGTAGCGTATCATGTTTGCGCCCTCGACAAAAGTTTTGGCTGAGACGTTTGTTTTTTGTTTTGGTATTTTCTTTCAATATGTTTAACACTGAGGTAAGTGCACGTTTTGCTAGCATGGGCGTTATATGCCAACTTTGTGCTGCACTTTATTTTGCTCTGTTTAGTCAGTGTTTCCATGTACCTGCATGTTTAAGATCCAGAAAAGATGTATCATATCAGCTATCATGTGTGCAGGCTAATCAATCTGCTGAAGTAAAAATAGTTCTACATATCAGCCGATGTGTTTAGCGCAGCAGGTGGTGGGGTTCGGAAATGTGCTAAAGTTACAGCATCGAGGTGTGTCGCGTCACCAGGTTCAATGTAAACATAGCTACATATTAAATGGAAACATATTAAATCATAGCTACATATTAAATGTTTTGCAAATTTCAAACAAAAACAAAATACAAAGTCAAAAACAGCCTACGAGTCTTTAATATGGTCCCCTATGGAAAATATTTGCCCTGTTCTGCTTTTGACAGACTGTACAGTTTGTACAGAGGAGCAGATGGTCAGGGTGTGAAATACTAAAGCTGGCTTTTCAGCCACCTTTTTTCAAAGGCATCCCGCCTTATCATCTTTTACTGTCATCTGTCTTTATGTCTGTTGTCTTTGGCCTTGGAACGGCTCCCGGACAGGACAGGTTCCTGCTATCAGACTTTACCCTAGTCATGGGTTGAGGGGAAAAAAAATGATACTAGATTTACTGTTGGTGCATGTGTGTGTGTGTATGTGTGTGTGCATGACCTCAGCAGCTGGCCTGGGGCTTGTCTAGTTGTCCTGCTCGTAAGTGTGAGTGATAACAGTGAGGGTCAAGGGGCCAGGTCTCAGATCAGTTGTTAAAAGCCAGCAGTAGCACAAGCAGCTGGTTCTCTATACACACACTCATGCATGCACACCCCCCCCTCCCACCACCCGACACACACACGCACACTGTTTTGAATGTATCCAGGAATGAGATCATCACATCCACACAGCCAGAATAAATCCTGTGTGAATATTATGTCTCTTTAGCTCTATATATGGCAATAGAAGTGTTTAGTGTGTTCAAAATTCATGTCTCTTACTTTGTTATTCATTGTTCACCTTGTTTTAGTGAACTCATGTGGCTGCAGGCTGTGGAGCTCAAGCTACAGTTGGTTTCCACACACCACGGCTTAATCTTTAATCCAATCAGGGCTTTGTCGGTTGACCCCGAAGCGGGCTGTGGCTCTGGAGTAACAGCTGCCACTGTCCTTCTGCTCCAGTGTTTTATGGCACTGAATTTGAATGTTTTTTACACATTAAAGAAGGAGTTTGACAACAAATTTGCACAATGTTCACCTTATGCCAAAGGTATTTGATTAGCCAAGACATGTTTGGTGTCTCATATTTCCTTTGGATATTGAGTCCCATCCAG